GAAAGGGGCAAGCAGCCAGATGCGGCGGCTGCTGCTGCTGCTGCTGCTTTAGCTGCTAAAGAGCCACAAAACATTCAAAGTAATTGATGTGAAGAGCTCTAAACACGATAGCGACGGCATTGCTGCCGAGGGTGCCATAGGAGCAGCAGCAGAAGCAGCAGCAGCAGCAGCGGGATCGTCAAATAACATCCATCTCGTTTGATATATTGCCAGCGTTGGCCAAAAGGCCAACAAATAAGCATGGCAGAAGTGTGATTAGGCCTTGGCTAAATGCCTGCCTCAATCTAATTCCTATCGGCTCTAAATCAGCATTTCCATTTTGATGGCTTTAATTTCCCAGCACTCGCATTCAGCTTCAATCGGCATTCCTTCTGGCATTCCGGAAAAAGTTATTTCAGAGATTCCAAATCGTTTGCTCGCTCCCTGAATTTTTAACCAGCGGCAGGAGCTAAAAATCACACCCGCTGCACCTAAAACACATAAAAGAGACGGACTTGAAAGCGGTTTATGCGCGCACGTTTCACGAATTGAGTTATTGTTCTTCAATGCCGAGGCCGAGGCATAAAGTGAGCCAAATAATGTATATTTATGTACAATAAAATTCCTTTTTGAGTATATGCGTGAATTGTGACTAGAATTAAATAGGCATCGTTAAAAATTTAAGAAGTTTATTGTAGAAAAAATTTCATGAAATCTAAATTGAAGATTGGCTAAAGTAAAATATGTAAAACATGGAATTTCTCTGGTGTTAGAATGTATTATCTTTTATTTTTTATTACAATGATTATTATTATACTTTTTTTTAAAATCATTTAAAATTTGGTTTTTATTTATGTTATTGGATAACGATAGCAACGATAGAATTTCCCTGGCTGTAGACTTTATTATTTTACTATATTTTTTTTTTTTTATTTATTTGAAGTGCTTTTTAAATATTTTTTTTAGCATTTTATTTATTTTTTCAAATTTATTTTATTTTCATATTTTTGACTTGCTTCCTGCTGCTTCTTTGAAATATGTATGTTAAGCAATCTAAGTGAATTCAATTTAAATTTCAACTTTCAAAGTGACTTGATTAGTAACAAATTAACTCTCTATAATTATTTATAAAAGTTTGTGTCTCTTATCCTGTTCCAGCTACTCAAATTGCTGTATATCACAATTAGAGCTGCAATCGGCGATAGCTTCTCCCTGAGCTGGCACCAAAAGAGAAAACGATCAATCGCTGTAAGTTTACAATTCAAAATTAATTTTTTAGCCATATACAAGAAGAGCATGACCTTTGCTCTTACATGCTCTTTCATTTCTTCATCGATCTCTATCACTTCATTTCACTGTTAACAAATAACTATTAAAACTGATATTATATTGGTCTCACTCCGAGCAAGACACTTCGGGTTCTTTTCGTTGGCTTCTGTTGATCGTGTGACGAACATCGTTTAGGCAGCAATACGATTGAGTTTCGCACAAGGAGACGCTCTGAATGAGTTTAGCAGAGATAGTTTCCGCGCATGTGCATAACAATACATACACAACAGGCTTTGCCGATTGCGATTGAACTCGTTAAAAATTCGACCCAAGCAATGACTCTCCAAGTTTTGCTTCTCAGACGATCAGCAAAAGACGCTCTGAGAAACATCGAGAAACTGTCAATAGTTATTCAAAATGTTCTTTATAAATAATGAACTAATTGAAATGCTAAAATAAATCAAAAGGTTTACTTCTTAAAAATGTAGACATAATAGCACGATTGAATTTTTATACTCGACAACGAATGTCTAATATAATCTAACATGTAGTATTCCGAATTTCGTGCACGTGTAAACTCTAGTTTTCGGGATATGCCACTTGCAGTTCGAGTGTAAATAAAGTCATAGCAAAAACAAATAAGTTGAAACGTGTGCGAACAAAAATTGCAATTACAAGTGGCGCCACCTAGCGCCAGGGGGATTAACCTGCAGCAGAGGTGGGGAGATGCGCGCGTCTTATTGTCTGAGCGTGGCATGCAGCCCGCACACCGCTTGACACCTGCTACCACACCAAAGCGCATTTTTGTGGACGCATTCAGGTGCAAATAATACGAAAGAGAGGCGAAAGGTAGAGGTAGCAAAGGTATCTAGGGTTAAGACTCTATCACATTTATATACCACTTTAACATGGAAAATTGCATCAAGAATTTCAATTTAAATAAAAAATCTTTTATTTAGAATTGAGCTTTAAAATTGATTTGCATGAAACAAAAACCATGAAATTTGCTTAAATACTTTTATGGCAACCTCTAACAACCGCGAGCAAATAAAAACAAATAAAAACATGCAACATTTGTTAAATCACTTGCAAATATACCAAATATCAAATATCGTGTGGCTCTAAATCAATTGTCCAAACAATTTTCGTGGCTATTCAAATGAAAAGCCATTAGCTGACGCGCTATGGACATGTGTAAACAAAGTGTATGCAAATATGTTTTTAGCCCATAATTAATATGATTTCCTATGAATTCTAGACCAATAGATAAGAAAAATAAAATGGAATTTAGAAATTTTTGAATAAATAAAAAAATTCAAATTGATATACTAAATCGAAGAGTTTATATACAATATAATAATTTTAAAAATTTTAAATGCAATAAAAAATAATAATAATATATTGTATTTAATTAAAGAATCAAAAAAAAAAAAAAAAATTACAATGCAAAAAATTTAAAATAAAATTATATTAAAAATTTACAGTTGAAATATATTTTTAGAGTTTCGTAGGCTTTATGAAACTTGAAAAAATGTTATATTAATTATAATATTAGAAATATATATTTAAAAAAAAAAAATAATAATAATTTACCTATCGATTCGTAATGCAAACCATTTGACATAAAATAATAACATGTATGAAATTCTGTATATAAATATATACATAAATGTATATATTTATTTATATTAAAAATACATACTAAAAATACTAGGGTATTTTATGTTTGGTAAACGAAAATCTGAAATGTGTATATCTCTGCTATAATTGTTTAGTTCAATAACAATAGACTGATAAAAAATGATTGAAAATAATGTTCGTGATGTCAACTTTGTTGTTGTTAAATTGTGAAATCAATTTGTTTTCTATGGCCAGCAAAATGTGTAAATATTTGCAAACCACTAGAAAAAAAAAATGATATTTTGCTGTGATGATGTCTATTACGGCTAGTTTTATTGCATGGTAAAAATAAACAACTTTGAATTAATACTATTTTATCAAAAAATACTTCAATATGCAGTTTAATTTAGAAAAATAAATAAATTGCTCGACTTCTACGGCTATTGAATATCCATTTTATTAAAATTTTAATCAAGCAACGTTGATTTATCAGATTTATCAAATCACTATTTAATAAATTTACAATACAAATTTCACATTATTTAGACTAACTCTAAATATAGAAATTACAATTAAATAAAAACCAAGTGCCACTTTAATGCTTCAGATTTTTTAAGTTTTTTAATATTTACTTATTTAAAGTTACTTATGTAAATTTCTCACTCATTGCGCTAACCAGTTGGTGCAGAACTTTCAGGAAGTATGTGAGATCAAGTACTAATATTCCATTGCAAAACTCAAACATTCATAGCGTGAGTATATAGCAGATGCCACTTAGTTAATTGCTATTCGAATACCAGGTTCAACGACCATCAATTAAAATTAATTACATAATGTATTTTATTAATTGTTGTTGAGCAAAAAAAAAAATAAATATATTTTCATTGAATTATGGTCGTGTACATTCCAGTGGGCATGTGGTATAAAAACAATTACAAATATGAAACGAACTATCATTTAGTCATGCCTAACGCTAATTTGAGTTTGATATCGTCCTTAATCTTATGATGTTCGGAAAATATTTCATTTCGACGTTCATATTTTATGCTAAATGTGATCAGCAGAAAAACAGTGCTTACAATGAAATCGATGATATAAACACCCAGAGCTCGGCTGGTGTAAATGTAATTATATATTGAAGGACCTTGTTCCCTCTTTGTGCAGCGCTTGAAATAGATTTGGGTCAACTTGAGAGAATGGAAAAAATCATTAAATGTTTTAAAACTCAATTTAAATAAAAATATTTACCTTTTCCAAACGCCTCCGTCTTGTAGGATTTTGATATTTGAAAGGCATCTGCATCTCGTGATGGTACATCTGATTCAATACCTGGCGTTCTGTTGCCTCGATGGATCTTGCCATCCAAACAACGTGCAGCATGTTTGACATGAGCAGAGAGCCACGAAATATATAGAATAGAGACAAAATTTCTCCCGTTAAGAAGTGCAGCCAGAAAACAACTACACTGAGCATGATCACATCCGCGACCTCCATGCTCAGCCTAGCTGTGGTCGAGATCCAGCTAAATTGTTGTAGTTGCTGTTTCAGCTGCATCAATTGCTCAAAGTATTCTATGCAACGAGATCGTTGAACTTTTCGTGTTGGCGAGGGTCTATTGATATGTTTAGCCAATGTCCTAATCATAATGAGATGAATCATCAGGCCAACATCAAGCGAATAAAATTGGAAAAAATATTGTCCAGTCATGAACGTCATAATGAGTCCTGAATTGTCAAAACTCAAATTCGAAATTATATAGACTTCGTGCACAATGTGCACCGTCAGAATATACCACGGCACATGGACATCGCGTTGAAAGAGCTCTCGATGCATTTCCGCGAGCCGTAAAAAATGATTCAGTAGACGGCAGAGATCACGGCGATAGTATATGATGTACCAGCCCATTAGAGCGCTGGTGATATAGCGTATGGTAATTATGTAGATGCCTAACCGCACGATAATCAGTTCCAGGTTCAGTTCATGCATCCACCGATCCGTGAATAAATACATAAAAAATGCGTTAAATGGCCAAACGATGATACAATGCAATATCTTCATATACCAATGCCAGAAGCGAGAACTGATCATCCTATTTTGCCTGCGATCGTAGTTAAATTCATTGATTGCGAATATTTTGGTCAGAATATTGAGCAGCTTCAGCAGAACCTTGAGGTAGTACGACATTGTAAACACTGAATGTGACGATTCGTTGACGTTGGATTATTAGTCGTTCGACTTAGTTAATTGCTATTCGTACACAATGCTCAACGACCATCGATTACAATTTGGTTAAATTAATGAGTTTATTAATTGTTAAGCAAAAAATATATTCATTGAATTATGCTCGCGCGAATGAATCACAATTGGGCCATGTTATGCATTATTTTGAGTGTTAAGTCGTTTGCAGTGTGCAGCTGATGATGTTCGGAGAATATTTCATAGCGACGCTCATACTTTATGCTGAACATAATCATTAAGAACGCATTGCTGACTACGACATTGATGATAAACACATTAAGAGATCGACTGATGTGAATGTAGTTGTATATTGAAGGAGTTTGTTCCCTCTTAGTGCAGCGCTTCAAATAGATTTGGGTTAACTTGAGAAGTGAGACATGAAAAATACATATTATATTTTTTTATTCTATACAAATATTGCAATACAAATATTTACCTTTACCAAGCGTCTCCGTCTTGCAGGATTTTGATGTTTTAAAGGAATCAGCATATCATGTTGATACATCTGGTTCAACACCTGCCGCTCTGCTGCCTCAATGGATCTTGCCATCCATATATTGTGCATCATGTTGGACATGACCAGAGTTGCACGAAATATTACGTATAGAGACTTAACGTTACCCGTTAAAAAGTGCAGCCAGAAAGCAACAACACAGAGCATGACCACATACACGATCTCTACGCTCAGCCTAGCTGTGGTCGGGATCCAGCTAAACTGTTGCAGTTGGTGCTTCAATTGCGTCAACTGTTCGAAGTATTCAATGCAACGAGATCGTTGGACTTTTCGTATAGGCGAGGGGCTAGCGATATGTTTAGCCAATGTCCTAATCATATTGAAGTGAATCATCAGGCCAACATCAAGCAAATAAAATTGGAAAAATAATGTTCCACTTATCAAAATCAATATGCACCCCAAACTTCTAAATCTAAAACGTGAAATTAAATAGACTTCGTGCAGAATGTGCACCGACAGTATATACCACGGCACATGGACGTCGCGTTGAAAGATCTCTCGATGCATTTTTGCGAGCCGTAAAAAATGATTCAGTAGACGGCAGAGATCACGGCGACAATATATGATGTACCAGCCCATTAGAGCGCTGGTGATATAGCGTATGGTAATTATGTAGATGCCTTTTCGCACGATAATCAGTTCCAGGTTCAGTTCATGCATCCACCGATCCGTGAATAAATACATAAAAAATGCGTTAAATGGCCAAACGATGATACAATGCAATATCTTCATATACCAATGCCAGAAGCGAGAACTGATCATCCTATTTTGCCTGCGATCGTAGTTAAATTCATTGATTGCGAATATTTTGGTCAGAATATTGAGCAGCTTCAGCAGAACCTTGAGGTAGTACGACATTGTAAACACTGAATGTGACGATTCGTTGACGTTGGATTATTAGTCGTTCGACTTAGTTAATTGCTATTCGTACACAATGCTCAACGACCATCGATTACAATTTGGTTAAATTAATGAGTTTATTAATTGTTAAGCAAAAAATATATTCATTGAATTATGCTCGCGCGAATGAATCACAATTGGGCCATGTTATGCATTATTTTGAGTGTTAAGTCGTTTGCAGTGTGCAGCTGATGATGTTCGGAGAATATTTCATAGCGACGCTCATACTTTATGCTGAACATAATCATTAAGAACGCATTGCTGACTACGACATTGATGATAAACACATTAAGAGATCGACTGATGTGAATGTAGTTGTATATTGAAGGAGTTTGTTCCCTCTTAGTGCAGCGCTTCAAATAGATTTGGGTTAACTTGAGAAGTGAGACATGAAAAATACATATTATATTTTTTTATTCTATACAAATATTGCAATACAAATATTTACCTTTACCAAGCGTCTCCGTCTTGCAGGATTTTGATGTTTTAAAGGAATCAGCATATCATGTTGATACATCTGGTTCAACACCTGCCGCTCTGCTGCCTCAATGGATCTTGCCATCCATATATTGTGCATCATGTTGGACATGACCAGAGTTGCACGAAATATTACGTATAGAGACTTAACGTTACCCGTTAAAAAGTGCAGCCAGAAAGCAACAACACAGAGCATGACCACATACACGATCTCTACGCTCAGCCTAGCTGTGGTCGGGATCCAGCTAAACTGTTGCAGTTGGTGCTTCAATTGCGTCAACTGTTCGAAGTATTCAATGCAACGAGATCGTTGGACTTTTCGTATAGGCGAGGGGCTAGCGATATGTTTAGCCAATGTCCTAATCATATTGAAGTGAATCATCAGGCCAACATCAAGCAAATAAAATTGGAAAAATAATGTTCCACTTATCAAAATCAATATGCACCCCAAACTTCTAAATCTAAAACGTGAAATTAAATAGACTTCGTGCAGAATGTGCACCGTCAGTATATACCACGGCACATGGACGTCGCGTTGAAAGATCTCTCGATGCATTTTTGCGAGCCGTAAAAAATGATTCAGTAGACGGCAGAGATCACGGCGACAATATATGATGTACCAGCCCATTAGAGCGCTGGCAATATAGCGCGTGACAGCTATATAGATACCTAACCGCAAGAGGATTAGTTGAAGGTTCAGTTCATGCATACACTGATACGAAAATAAATATAAAAAAATTACGTTAAGTGGCCAAATGATGATACAATGCAATATCTTCATATACCAATGCCAGAAGCGAGAACTGACCATCTTATTTAGTTTACGATCGTAGTTATATTCATTGATTGCGAATATTTTGGTTAGAATATTGAGCAGCTTCAACAGAACCTTGAGGTAGTACGACATTGTAAACACTGAATGTGACAATTCGTGAACGTATAAGCACCCGCTGGATGATTGGCCGCTTCAATTTCGTTCATTATCTGTGAGAGCGAAAGTCAATTCAATTAGGCAGTCATAAAGCAGATGAGAACTGTGGTATGCTAATTGGCCTGAAACTGGCGGCACAGTGAGTGCCTGACTATTCCATTAATCAAGCAACAGCACTTCACACAGCGAAAGTCGCTCGCATGATTAATTCAGCCAGCATGCGATTAATGTCTATATCAGCCAAAAGGGAACTAGGGAAAGCCAGGAAATTGCTTTTCCATATTGTGACTTGAAGGGCTTATCTAGAGAGCAAGTGAGGTGAGGCCTCTTTTCTTATAATTGCACACAGGGTATTTTCTAGTCAACTACTCTCATTTATGGCCCTTGGTGCGGCGCTGCGAAAACATATGTACACATTGTGAATCGATGTTTACCCCCTGCTACCGCTCTTGGTAAGCACACCCTAGAGTAATTTATTTGACAACGAACTTGTCTCATTCATCATAATTGTCGTGATGCCTACTCTGCGGCTGCTCAGAGCTACCAACACCTGTTTAGGTTGTCGACTTCCTGTGTGGGTTTTAGGCGCCCACTTCTTCAGCCAGGCGTACATGATATATGGTCATGCTTTCAACTGTCTTGCTGTGGGTGTCTTTCTGTTCTTTTCTTTTATTTTCTTTTTATTTTTTTTATTTTTGTTTTTTTCTTTGCCTGGCAATCAAGCTCTTAGCAGCATTTTAATTTGCCTAATTTGTGAGACAGCCTACAATGGAGTTTGGCGACCCACTCACCGACATTGATGTTTCTCTTCTCGGAATTCGCTAGAAATTAATCGTTGCTATTAGCGTTGATTTATGATTGTGAGAGCTTGGCTGAGCGAGTCCTCTGTGTGGGTGCGGCTCATTTATGCATTTACTTATGAGTCTCCATATTTTGTGCGAATTATTTATAGTTCTGTTTCCAATTTGCTGGGGTAACAAATGTTCTGGGTTAATGGTCATACCATTGCTTTTTCTCTTCTTGTTCGTCTACTTTCTGGTCAACAGTCGGCGTGTGACAGCTGAAGGATGGCTGTTTATGAGTAAATATTTCGATTAGGCAAACTTCTTCACATTTCAATGAGAAGTGCTTGGGAAATATTATTTCTGCAATTTCTTAGGAAATATATTTATATAGTATTATAATTAACTTTCGTTGTCATTAATTTACGCAAATGTTTAAAGGTGTGTAGAGACCACAAAGTATTTATAATAGAACTTCAGATGTGTAGATGTAGATACCAGAAATAAAACGGTAATTATTTATCAATTGCCATTATGTTAATTGCTATCACTAAAGTAAGTGTAGAGAGCAATTTAAATAAAGTAAATCGAAAATAAACCGCTGTTTGGTATGTATTGAATTACAAAATAAAATGGCAGATTTCTCCTCCTCGTATATTTTTCTTCTCTTCTCGTGTTTACTTTTTATTATAAATTACAGATAAATGAAAATTTCATTATGAAATATATAAAAAGAAATAAATAAATTTTATTAACCTATTTTTATTTATTCTTTTTTTAATATAAATTTTTTTTGTTATATTGTTTCATTTATAAATATTATTATTAAATACAATTTTTGAATTTTTCATTAGATATAAAATTTTTTTAACTATAGACTATTCAAAACATTTTTTTATTATTTATCAAATATCAAATAGTTAAAAAAAATATATTTAAAATAATTTATTAAATAAAAACCCACCTTTTTATTTTTTAATTATAAAAAAAAACTAGATTTTCATTATAAATTAAAATGTTATTATAATTAAGTGTTATTTTCATGAATAATCACGTCTAATCACATTCAGGAATTAATCTTTCAATCACTAAATCAGGCTTTGATCCTATGCTTTCTATTTTATGCTGAAAGTCATCATCAGAAAGACATTGCAGAATATAAAGTCGACGACATATAGTACTAGAGCAGGCAAGACATAAATGTAGTTCAAAATCGAAACACAGCGTTCCTTTTTAGTGCAGCACTTTAAGTGAATCAGTTCCAACTTCAAAAGAAAACAAAATATGAACTATTAACAAGTATGTCTTTTTTTTAAGGAACTCAATCAACAGTTACCTTTTCCATTCGCCAGTTTCTTGTCGCTTTTCGATGTTTTAAGCTGAACAGTATCTCATCTTGATACAAATGATGCAATATCTTGGACTCCATTAATTCGATAGATCTTGCCACTCTTATATTACTTATGATATTTGACATGAGCGCACATTGAATAATTATTGATATTAAATAAGTCGTATTGCCAAGCATGTAGTGCATCCAAAATTCTGTAAGGCAAAGCATCATTGTGAGCATCATTTCGATGCTCAGTCTCGTCACAGTCGAGATCCAGCAGAATTGCTGCAACTTTGCTTTTAGCTGCAGCAATTGCTCAAAGTATTCTATGCATGATCGCTTGAGATCTTGGCTATGCGAGATTTCATCATAGTTCTCAGCCAAAGATCGAATCATATTGTGATTAACCATCAGGCCCACATCAAGTAGAACAAACAAAAAAGGCAATCTTGCAGTCACAAAGTTCAAAGAGCCGCCGAACCCTACGCTGAACGGAGTAAAATAAAAAGCTAAATAAATTTCGCGCATGAAATGAATTATTAGCCAAAGCCACGGCACATGAACGTCGCGTTGAAAGAGCTCTCGATGCATTTTCGCCAGCCGTAGATATTGATTCAGCAGACAGCGGAGATCATGGCGATAATATATAATGTACCAGCCCATTAGAGCGCTGGCAATATAGCGACTAACAGTTATGTACACGCCCAGGCGTATCAGCATGTACACAAGCGTCAATTTCTTCATACTCCAAGGTC